CCCCCCCCCCCCCCCCCCCCCCCCCCTCAAGTAGAGGAGGTCTAGGAAGATTTTGTTCTAAGTTGGGATGACACAGTTGAGAAAAATTCTTGTTTACAATGGTTGTATTCCTTATTTTTCGCTTCTACATGATTGCCCTATGTTCTAGTGAACTTTTTTTGTTCTCAACTTTCAAGCAAATTAGACTCTCTAGAAAAGTCATAAAAATTAGATTATTTTAATAATCGATTATTGTTATAATTTGAATCAAACTTTTTGATAATGTTGTTGAAAAACGATTTTGAAATATTTAATTATTTTTGGATATAACAAAAAACCAGTTTTTACTTCGTAAAAAAATCAACTTTAGGAGAAAAAAGACTTAATAAATAATTACAAGTTTCAAATTTTCAGATGTATGAAAACAACTTATTTTTGGAGAAAAAATATATTAGAAAGTTTCAGCTGTTATTCCAAATATATATAGTTTTTATTTTTTTATTTTTATAAACAACTGTTGTATCTAAAAAAATTGAAATGGTGGAAATTAATCCTTCCCAAACATGCTCTTAATGTGTATGATATTCATTCCAAGTCTTCTGTTTTTTTCTTCTTGGAACCATGGGGGAGCATTTGATCCAAATTATTTTCAGGAATTTCTCCCTTTTGTGGCTTCTTATTGTTTAGGGTTTTAGTTGGGGATATGATTTCTTTTAAGCTTTTATGCAGCTTATAAGGGTGGTAAAAAGATTCCTTATTCCCAATAAGCAAGAAATGGTCCGAACCAAGTGATATGTGAAATAGTACTACTAATGGTGAACCTAACCTTCATCTCAATTTTGGAATAATGCTATGGGAACATTAGCGTCAATCACGTACATGAGATGATAAACGTAAAGTGTGAATATAAAAAATGGGATGAGACTAAAATATATTAAATTCCAATGGAGTTTGGGAATCAATATTTAAGTGATGATGTTCCTGCTTTCATTCCCTTCACCTGACTTGTGTTTTTGTCTCGTTCTTTAGACCCTTTATTCCCTGTCCAGTTGCCAAAAATTAAAAAGGTGATAATAGTTATATAAATGCCAGTTAAATAAATAATGTGTGCGGAATCATTAACTAGTGTAACATAGAACTAATTAAGATTGTTGTCAATCTAATAATTTTCTTTCCAAAAATTGTTGCCACTGTTATAATTTTTAATGCAAAGATATGAGGCTCTTTATGAGAATGTGAAAAGGAGAAATTGGAGTGAGAATAGAACATAAAAAGAAAATATTTAATTTTTATAGGTTTTTTTTTTTTGTGAGCTAAAACTTCGCGAACAAATTAAGTTAAAAAAAACTCATTTAATTCTTGTATAAAGTTCAAAGCTTAAGATTTACATTTTATAATAAGTTCAAGCTGGTTGCAATCTCAATGAAATTAATCATTATTTTTTTTACAATAAATACTTTATATCAATGTCATAGTTATTAAAAAAATAATTATATACTCAAAACAAATTACAAACTAGTAGCTCAAAAAATTTATATTTAATTTAAAATTTTAAAATGAGGTTAGACTCATTGACATTTTAGTTTGTACAATTTTTTTTATGTGATAAATTCATATAAACTGATGAAATCAGATTAAAAGGACATTAGTATGATTAATGTTCAAAATTCAAAAGTCTAAATCTTACCTGTCATCAAACAGATTAAAGTTGAATACGTTGCCTCAATCCAACAAGACTAAACAACAAGTAAAAATAAAATAAAATAAAAACTATACAAGAAACATAAAAGGGTGGAAGAAAACATCAAATAAAAGCGAACAAACAAGTAATAAAAACTTACTAAAACTAAAAAACATTTTTTCTTATTTTAAAAAAAATCAAAACAATTCTAAAACTCATTTAAGAAACATATCACTCTTTCAATAAAACAAAATTCGTACCCAAGTTTCAATAAATAAATAAATAAATAAATAAATAACTGAAAACCTAACCTAAGTTATTCGAGTATTTTGATTTCAGTTTCCAACTCCCCTACTAAAAAGGACGCAAAACAAAAATCGAGAATTAAATTCATTCATTTATATTATTCATTAGGGAATCACAGAGAAAGGAAAAGAAAGAGAGTCAGAAGAAGAAAAAAGAAAAAAGAAATCCAAATCATCGATGGGTAAAGCATGCGTGGTTTGGATTTTGGCGTCGATCGCCGCGTCGTGTTTGTGGGCGGCGGCGATGGGGCAGAACACGACGACGATATACGAGGAGCTGCAGGCGCAGGGTCTTCCGGTGGGGCTTCTCCCGAAGGGCATCGTCAAGTACTCGTTGAACGCTTCCAGTGGCGAGTTCGAGGTTTGGATGAAGGAACCGTGCAACGCAAAGTTCGAGAACGAGGTTCACTACGATTCCAACATAAAGGGTATCCTCGGATACGGTCGGATCGGGGAATTATCCGGTGTGTCGGCGCAGGAGCTCTTCCTGTGGTTCCCTGTTAAGGGTATTCGTGTCGATGTTCCCACCTCTGGTCTCATTCATTTCGATGTTGGTGTTGCTGACAAGCAATTCTCTTTGTCGCTCTTTGAGGATCCTCCTGATTGCAGCCCCCAGGTTTGTTTAATTGTTTATCGTTCATTCAACTTTTTTTTTTCTTTTCTCTTTTGGGATCTGAAATTTATGGGGTTTTCTTGTGGGCAAGACTTAGATGCAGTTTTTAGGTGTTTTTGGTGGTATGCTATGATCAAAGTTTTGTATTGAAAAACAATGTAGGTTAGTTCAATTCTGATATGAGAAGAGCACTGAAAGGGCATAAGAAATTAGTGCACCTTAAGTTTTGTCTTTTTCTTATGTGGGCATGTGGAATTTGGGGCCTTTTCTTGGGGGGTGTCTTGCATTTATGAGTTGTCATTTGGGTATCTGAAATATGAGGTTTTCTTGTTGGATAAAACTTAGATGCAGTTTTTTTTAGGTGTTTTCGGTGCTCTGCTATGATCAGAGTTTTGTATTAGAAAACAATATAGATTAGTTCAATTCTGATAGGAGAAGAGCATCGAAAGGGCACAAGTAATTAGTACACCTAAAGTTTTGTCCTTTTCTTATTTGGGCATGTCGAATTTGTGGTCTTTTCTTGTAGGGTGTCTTGCATTTATGATTTTTGGTGCTATACTATGACCAAATTTTAGTATTAAAAACAATATAGATTATAGATTATTTAAGTAAAACTTCAATTCTGATAGAAGAACAACACTACAAGTGCTTAAAAAATTAGTACATTTTAAGTTGTCTTTTTCTTATTTGGGCATGTGGAATTTGTGGTCTTTTTTTGTGGGGTGCCTTGTATTTATGAATTTTGTTATCTGGGTACCTGAAATTTATGGTCTTTATTTTGTTGGGTATATGGAAATTACTTGTATGATTTTGTTATTTGGGTCTTGGAAATTTATGATTTTTTTTGTTGGGTTTGTGAAATATAAGATTTTTATGTGTTGGATATTTATGATTAACTTGGTGTTCAATTTATTTAGGTTAATGTTGGTGGTGGTAAAGGTGAGCTTTGGGCTGCTTGGTGATAGGAGGAGTGTTGCTGCATTTCAAATTACTATTATTATACAGCTGAATCGGCTCCTCTGTGTCTGTGGTTGGTCTTGTTTGATATATACACACATTCCTGCTGTACAGTACGGTCTGTCTCTTTTCTGCTTTGATTGAATCAATAGCTTGACTGAGGGACAAAGGATGACAATTTTGGTGGTCGGCAAGCCTATGGTTTTGGCAAAATCTGCGTCAGACAGGGATGTAGGGTGGTTAGGTTGGTTTTGCTAATGTACCAAGGTTTTATTATCTGTATTCTACTCTTTTTATTTGTGCATATAATTGTTTCAGCCTTGTCTTAGATTCAAGTATTTTAAAATAAAATAAAAAAACATAATATGTTAGGTTGTTCTTCTATTATATTAACTTTTTCCTACAATCATATTGCGAGAACTGTTGTTTCTGTAGCAATGTTTCGGGAATGTTGGTCCTTTTTGTGTGTATGCCTAGATTCAACTCATGCTTTGATTTGGTTTTGTCATTGCTTGTTTCACAAGGAAGTTGGATAAAATTGATTTTTAATCATTGAACAAGATTGAAATGTGTATCCAAATTACTAGTGATAGTAATCTTTAACCACAGATTTGAATTGGAATTTGTTTTTATTATAAAGTGCAAAAAATGATTTTCATCTGTGAAACAGACGGTATAAAATTCTAATTCCATCTCATTCATGTTTTGGCAAGGTTCTACACAGAATGAAAAAGATCAAAAGGATTTCATTTTGATACTTCTACTCTATCAATAAATGATAGTGTTGTAACTTTGAAATGTTGCTGAAGACATATTGCGAGTTAAATACATTTAGTTGATCTCTTGTCACCTTTCTTTAGTGTTTACTACGTTAGAAAAACCTGCTTCGTTTGATTACTCACTAGTGTGTAAAAAAACCTCAATCTCGTGTTGGTTTAAACATATCCAATGCGACGAGATTTCCTTTTTTGTCTAAATGTCTAAAAAATAATTTAAATAGAAAACTAAATTTTCTACTTGCGGACCTTCTTAAAATGGATTTCAGCTGTAGTATGAATTTTATATAAGTAAATTATCGTTCTAGTGAGATGGAGAATGTACCCCAAGTTAGTGGTCATGTGCTCGGTTAGAAAAAAAAAATACTATTAGCAAGCAGAAGTGCCTAGTTCGACATGGCTAGGGTGGCCATATATTGTGATGTTGCTACAAATGTAACTTAGGGGGACATCTTCGCGTCGAAGTTTTATTTTGTTTCCCATTCCTTAACTCATCAAAGTCTAAATATCTTTTTTGCCGAAGTCAGCAACTGTTTCATGGTACATTTTTAATACGTGAACTTCATTTAACTCGTGTCTTTTTAAAGGAAGAATTTTCGGGCTTCAAGGAGAATCTTATACCACTTAAATGATTATGGGTCTCGAATAGTTGGTGGAAATTGGATTGTAGTAATGTTTTCTGGAGAAATAAAATTCTTCCACTACGACGAGGAAATGATTTTTCACTGAAGATGTCACGAACTTTTATGTTAATTAGCAGACTTTTTGTAACTTCTCTATTAAAACTAACAGACGTGCAGTGCTTTCAAACAGGGCAATGTAAGTGTCTACCGAACTCTATGTTATATGTAACAACTAGGATAGTGCATAGAAAAATGTTAGGTCATGCTATAAATGGTTTTTATGGTAAACGATACCCGTTCCATATTGTGATTCCTGAATTGCTACTGAGCTCAAGCAACCAAGATAAGAGATTTTCAGCAAATCAAATATGTAATGATCATGTTAACAAGCACATCAAATATCTTAGGAAATGGTGGTTGCCTATTCTGCCTGGTGAGAAGGTGGCTTGTACATCTACTAATTTACAATGCGCTAATATGCCACAAACTTCATTATTGCGTTGTGACACTCTTCGCAAGATTACGCGGCTGGTCCACATTATATCCCCTCAGAACAGTCAGATGATATGCCAATAACTGCATCGGAAAGAAATAACTTGTTGAAATATGTAGGATATATGCAAATCCTCCTTCGTACAAATACGTAAAAAGATTAGCCTATAAAGATTCTAGGTGACAAGTATATACAACTACAAAACACGCATATGGGAAATCCAGACACTGAAATGTATATTCAAACAAAAGAGAAAATACCTAAAAATAGGCAACATGGAGAATCGCTATCAACATGGAGTTGAGAATTGGTTTATATAAAGATAGACAGACAAACAGAATCTATGACACTATTATTGAAATATTTCCCTTTGGTAGATGTAGCAATGTTGCAAGGATAAAATAAAGCAGTAAAAATGCTGAAAAAGGATTGTAAACATACCTGTAATGGAACTACATTAATTACAGGTTGAAGACAGTCCTCAACTTGTGGAACTTCAATTACCCTACAATTTTCATTAGGGCGCACAGAGGAAGCATCCCCTTTTGAACACATAACTATCAGACGACCTTTGCGGGCATGAAGTTGCTGAATAACAGACTGCTGTTTGCTGTAAAAGATAAAAGATGTCCATATCAAACACTCCTATTTTCATATAATATAGCTACTCAAATGTCACAACCAACCTGAAGCAAGCATCGCGTGTAGCTACAACAACAATTGGAAGATTTTCATCCACTAATGCCAAAGGACCATGCTTCATTTCACCAGCAAGTATCCCTTCACTATGCATAAGTGCCACTTCTTTTACTTTCAAAGCTCCCTCAAGAGCAGTTGCATAGTTGTATCCTCTCCCAAAGACAAGAAGAGACTGCTCAGCAATCAACTGCTTTGCTAGATCCTTCATCTCCTGGTCAAGCTTCAGCACCTCTCTTACCTTATCTACAATCCAACATTTTAATTAGAATACTTTTACAAGTGCCCTGAGCAGCCTCATGGGGTATTTGGTACAATATTTTGAACGATTCCTCATAAAAAAATCGTTTTTAGTTTTAGCTTGATTGAAGGCTGTCTGTTATTTCTGAAGAATCTAATATCTTTATTTTTTGGTAATAAAAGTTTACGGGGTGGGGTGGTTACTCGATTCCAATCAAGCTCATGGCATGCCACAAACCTCTGCAAGGGCTTTGTACTTGCAAAATGCTTAGTTAAGGCTACCAATCAAGCCAACCCACATTAACGATGATTATCATTTCTAATAATGATTTTCCATGAAATGATGATTACTCGGTTGACGTAACATCCATTGGTTTCTAGATTTCCACCTCATAATTATTCTCTTAACAAGTACGGTACATGACTCGCCTGATATCATCATTAATTTATGCTATAATATTTAGTTTATAAGTTAAAATTTGATATGCCTCACTATAAGTAAGTGCTTACATTATCACTATTTTTACACAATTATTCCATTAAAATAATTTACAAACCCTGTATTAAACACACAATATGTTAGCATATTATTAAGAACTTAAGAATTTTAATATTAAAACTTCAGCACTTTACAGTAAGACTAAAAGTATTAAATTTAAATCTATTCATGTTTTATTTTTTGTTTGTTTTCATTGTCCTTATGCCACTAGTGTAAATATTTTTTAGACATTGTTGTGATAGTATATTAGACATTAACGATTACGTTATCATCATTGGTATATTTGTAAGAATGATTAACCTTAAAACATTCATTTAAATCCCCTATTAACAAACAAAGTAACCATCATATTCACCCTATCATTAGAATCAAATTTTAAAACTTGAGAATCATTAAAACATTATACTCTTAACAAGACAGGATATGCCAAGATTAACCAGACACAGCAAATTGTGCCCAAATCCTTAAGATTCTTAGCCAATAGAAACTCACTTGGAAGGTCAAAAAGACCATCAATGATAGCTTCTCTTCTGGCTTGATATGAAATTGTATCGCCTCCTATTGCAAGAGCTAACATGACCATCACTACTATTTGACTTGTGTATGCCTATAGTAGTTATAAATGCACATTAATAAACCAGTTAAGCAATGTTTAATTACACATTTAGTCACTATACTTATACAATTTTTACATTATTGTCCCCATACCTAGGAACTACACGTCTTAATCCCTACACATGCACTTTTTTTTTTGGTACCTACTGTGAATTGTCATAACTCCAGTATTTTGTAAAACTACCACAAGTTTTTTGGCTGTTAACCACCAGAAATTCTCTCTTTAGCAACAAACTCATGAGATTTTCTTTTTGGCAGTTTTACACCTCTATTTTCTATTTTGTGACAGTGCTAGTCAACAGAGTTAAGACACTTAACGTAATGGACTGGAACAAAATTAAGTGCATGTATAGGGACTAAAATGCGTAGTTTCTAGTTATAGGGACCAAAACGTAAAAATGATGCAAGTAATGAGCAATTAAATCAACAAATAATAAGACTATATAAAATGAAATGGAAAAAACTACATCCTTAAATGCAACATGTACCTTGGTACTTGCCACACCAATCTCAGCACCAGCATTTATATGAACACCACAATGTGTATTCCTTGCAATAGCACTACCAACAGTGTTTGTTATCCCAACACACAATGCACCATTGTCTAAAGCATACTGCAGTGCAAGCAAAGTGTCTGCAGTTTCACCAGATTGACTAACAAAAATGGCTGTATCTTCTCGGTATATTGGTCCCTCCCGATCCAATAGATCACTAGCAATTTCCATAGTAACAGGAACCCCTATAAATTAATGTATAGAATAAAACATTGTAAGTGTCAAGAACTTTTGGCTTGTTGCCTTCTCTAGTTCTATTCTCTTCTATAAATATTACAAACTCATTTACATTGCCTAGTAACGATTAAATACTAATTCGTAAATTGTGCAATCCTAATTTAAGAATGAAATTAATAGGAAACAATTAACAATGCAAGTAAGAAACAGCTGATTCTATTCCTAATGTTCAGCCCATATAATAGGAAATAGAATAGCAGCATATTCTCTGTTTAGCAGTAAGAATGGGCATACTTTTAATTTGCAAAACTTAAAAAAGGACTTAGGTCATACGGTATACAGCACTGACCAGAAAGTTCTTCCAAAATGGGTCTAGCAGCCAAAGCAGCATTATAACTTGTACCACAACCAATGAAAACTATCCTTCTACTTCGCCTAATTGTTTTGAGGTGATCCTTCAGCCCACCCAACAGAACAGACTTGGATATGTTAGATCCTCGACGTATAAGCCTCCCCCTCATTGTGGTTGTTAGAGACTCTGGTTGCTCATGAATTTCTTTTTGCATATAATGCTCATAATGACCTTTATTTATTTGCTCAACTTCCATCTCAAGAACAGATAATGCGCGTCGCACTGAAAAAGCTCTGGAAAGAGAGGCACGATGTTCTCCCTTGTCATTCTCAAACTTCAAAATAGAAACCCCACCATCCTAACAGAACCATTTCAATGTAAGAACAATATGTTGT